CCTAAACTGGTCATCCTTGATTGGTAATTCTTATATTGAATTGTATCGATGGAAGTTATAATGGTTTTACTGTAAGGGTTACTCATGCTATTATATTGACTAAGTTTAACTTATTGCAAATATTACCATAAATAATACAATACCTCCTCATAAATTTTTAATTTCTCCTACCAAATCTATATAACGAGAATATAACCATATACATAGTGGATTATCAAGTCTAACATTTTTTATATTTTTCCTACCATATATCTCTTTTGTTTAAACCATTAGTCTTTGTTGATTTTTATGTCATCCTATTATATCAGAAGGTTATAAGTTACCCCTATCTGTTCTAATCGTTTTAAAGACTTAATAATATTTAATCCTTTTTATTTTTGGAACGGGCTAATAATATTGTAATATAATCGATGTTACAACTATTTAATAAGTATCGATATTATATAATGACTTTTAATCCCTCTGAATTATAACCTTCTTAATCTTACAATATATTCAATGGTTTTCTTTCCGACCGAAGGGAGGTATTTTCTTAAACCCTTTTTTTTGGTTCAAGGAAATATATTAATAAATTCTTAGTACCGGCTTTATCCCTTTACTTCTAAAACTATAACCTAAAGTATAACTTCTAGATTGCTAATAAATTGTAATAGAAGGTACTGGAAAAAAGAATGTATAAAAACATAAATATTATATTTAGAAAAATAAATGATGTTTAGGACCTTCAGTTTAAAGTAAAATTTAATAATAGAGAATTCATGGTAAGTCTTAGGAAATAATATATTAGTACTTTAAGGTATTAGATGATTAAATATATTTTAAGTTATTATAATATTAATTGATATTAAACTAATACTTTTCTGTAATATAAAAAGTAGATAAAAAGTTTAACACACATCAAAAAAGAAAATGGAAGTATCTCATTATCTGGTTTAATATATTTATACTTTGGGTGTTTTACCTCAAATCATAAGTATATAATAGTTGCTAATTTTAGATTATCTTTATAACTCTTAAATTTATATTATAGTTAGAAACTTAATATAGAACAAATAGCTATAAGCATTAAAGGTATTAATTCTTCAATAAGCAATATCCATCTTATTATACATTAAATATATTATTAAAAAATGAAACTAATGAACCTATAATAGCTCAAGTATAAATATAACATATGAAATAAAGTCTAACTTCTAATAACAGGTAGTGTAACTAAATTAAATGATATTAAAAAATAGTTAAGAAGTAGAAATACAAATGTTAAACCTTTATTTACAATACCTAAAAATCAACTGTTTATACTTAAAAATAGAAATGGTATATGTAATCATTGTAATTAATATTGTAAAATGTTATAGGTATTAGAACGATATATTAGGTAAACCTTTATTAATAAAACTTAAGATTAGAAATGAATAGGTAAAAGTGAGGATGATAAATTTATACTATTTTAACTTTATTACTAGGTTTAACATACAATGTAAATCAGATTATTATACCAACTATTCAAGGAAGTTATACTATAATTAAGAAGGTATGTGGAAGGGTTGGATTAGGAAATGACATAGCTTTCTAACAACATAATTGATCTAATGTAAGACCAATAATTCAATATAGTTAACCATAAAGTAATTATAACATTTATTGAAACTACATACTAATATACAATATAAATATTAAGTGAATCTGATCCTAGAAGTGAAATATATTATAAATACTCATCATTAATGCAAAGTTATAACTATTTATAATAATAGAGATATAATTAATTATCAGCAGAATAAATTTTATATTTATATAATTCCTTTTACACTATTAACAATAAATCAATTTAGTATGGTAATCCATTTAAAGTACTATACATAAGTTAAACTAAAAATATGAAGTATAAAGGAGATTCTACCTTATTAGTAAAAATTAAATTTATATGAATAACTATAGGATTGTAAAGATATAATAGTTATATAAAGTACATAAAAATAGAAATATTATCGTAAATATTAGGTTTTTACTACTCGACTCCCTTTTTTTAATATCTTTTTGTATAATATTGTAAGACTAGATTATCTACATTATTTAAGGTTTCTATCCTTCTAGGACCTTTAGAAGTGAATGATAAATTTGTAAGAAAATAGGGACCTCTCATATGATTTAAATCTGAATCGATATAATAAAATTTAAAGTATATAGAGAGGAGGATTCTAAGATAAATATATTAGGATCAAGAGAGAAAAGATGCCTTTATATGTTAGAATAGTAGTAGACTGTAACGATAAAAGAGAAAATAATATATAAGTAAAAACATCTAGTATTGAGATTATTAGATAACCATTAGCTTTTCTAAAATTGAAATACAAAAAGGAGTAATTTAAAGTAAACCTCTTAAGTTTTTTAAGACTACTAAGGATAATTCATTTGCCTATATTTATTCTATTGACCTATAAAAAAGGGTAAGGAATCATAGAGTATCTGTAAAAAAAATCTTATATAATGAATTTAAGAATGAACCATAATAGGATATAAAGATTATTATTTGACTTTTAATATATTTTTAAGACTAAGATGTAGAGACCTTATTTAGCAAAAATCGTATAATTACTGGTAGGTAGCATCCAAGATATATTAGCGTTATACATATTATAAATTAAGGCTAGTAAAAAAGGAGATAAATTTAACGTACAATAAAAATATACATCTTATAATCCTTTTTATCTGCCCTATGTTATTTATACCTTTTACGTAACATAGCATTTATAAACTTAAAAATTATTATATTTTAAGTCAGTACCAACAAGAAGGGATTATAACATATAATAAGGATTAGTTTTATTACTTTAAACATTTTACCTATTTCTACAAGATATTATTCATACTAAATAGTATTATGTCTAAAGGGAGTTATTATTCCTTTTTAATAAACTTTCTAATTGAATGGAAGGATAATAAAATAAGGATAGATATATTAGGAGTAAAAAGAACTTAAAGGGAATATATGCTTAAACATCTAATTTGTAATGAGACTAATATCTGTATAGAATTGAGATAGAATAAAGGATTTATAGGTGTAAAAAAAATAATACTAGTATTAAGACTACCTAATATATAACTAGCATTATGATTTATTAAACTTTATAATTGTATAGCTAGTCACCTTTCTTATAAAACTAGGCAATAAAGTTTAAGCTAGTAAATAGATTACTAAAGAACAAAG